CGCGTCTACAATATTTCCTGACATGAACTTTAGCATAATTTGCATGACCACAGAAAACACTAAGCTCTGACTGTATCACACTTTATCAACAGAGTGACTTTAGAGTAACAGTGGCCAGTGGAGTTTCTCCCACATATCAGCTTTAAACTCAACAACAGAGAGGAAGGAACTCCTCCATTGTGGTGAGGAGACCTCTCAGCGCAAAGTTTAAATCCAATCGTGAAGCTGCCAGATGTGGCACTGACAAGAAGACAATCAATGGAGGCAGCAAATCTAAGATGTAAAATAAAGCAAAACAATTCTATGTCAGTCATTAACCCTGAGAAACAAATGTATCCGTTGACCGCAACCAGCCTGTTGGTGCTGAAATAACAGGACTGACATTTGCCATCCACAGCTGTCTGAAAGATGTTTGAGGGTTTCCTTTTTCTGAGAACCATAACCATTTATAGGTCAAGGGACAAATGTGAAAAAGTCAAAGTAAATATTTTTCAACAGAAAACCCCTGGATAATTTAAATAAATTAATGAATGCTCAGGAAGTTTGTTATTGTTGCTGTTATTGTCTGATTATCATATTATACAGTACTAACCTATTATGCGTATGAAGACATAATGCATGCAATCATGCTACTGCTGATAAAACAAACTACACAACCTGACATTACTTGAATAACCATTTAGAAAAAAAAGGACAACACATGGCAGCACTTCAGGATCTGGCATCTATGGAATCGACATCAACTCCAGCTGTGGCAAGAGAAGTGCTCTAACGCCAGTGTATCCACACAATGTGTGACATTATCTTGTCAAATCTAGAACTTAATATGTTCATATCTTGCTTTTATCCAGCTGCTAAGCATTGATAAACACTGTTGTTGAGCTTTGTTGATCCAACTCTGTTGCCGACAAAGGCTCAGGGTTTATAAATCTAAAAATCCAACCACTTATAGTGCCAGGCAACTTCCAAAACCATATTCTGACTTAAAAGTCAAGTGTTCAGTTATGAAAAAGTGTCATTTAATTTAAACTCATCAAATTTGCTGTCAACAATTTTAAACACCCACATTTTCATTTAATGCTCCAACTAGAAAATACTGTTAGAAAAAGCCCTTAATTTCATACATTAATGGCACTGGAGTGTTAAGAAATGAAGTGGCCACGGTTATGATCAGAAGCCAGCACACAGCCAATAGACACATGAGCAGGAGTCAGACAGAACTTCAAGTTAATCAAAAAGAGAGTGAAACTCTGGACTGATGCAGACCAACACAAATTTGACTTCAGAGCCTCGGGAGGAAGGTAAGAAAAGTTCTAATAACAGAGTTTAGAGAGAAACCTTTCAAGACAACCCAACAAACAGGATGTTTTTTAAAAACACTTTCCTTGTGGGTGGGTCAAGAGAACCAGTACAAAAACAAAGTTGTAAGAGAAAGTAAATAAATGAAAGTTTAAGAGAATAAAACTGCATCGACTCAATCTTGGATATAAATATTGCGCGATATGTCGAAACATTTTATGAAAATAAAAGATTTCATATCAGTCATTATCAACAATAATGACCATAAATATCCCATTGTTATTCTTTGTAGTTTAAAGACTGATTTTTAGTCCTCAGTGAATGTTGTGGTTTTAAACTCTTCTTTAAGGGCAGACAACAACACTTCTGTGGTAGAACATTAGAGCCAATTATTTATTATACCTATTATACTAAAACACACCAGCATTATATGGATATATGCTCAACTTTTGTTTTATTGCTGTGGTTATAAATAATGTTAATATTAATAGTTTTATTACCCAGCCCTTTGAAGGGATTTGTGAATTACAGTACAGGCTGATAAAGAAACAACTCCACATTTTAAGGTTGCATTGCATCTCCACATATACACATCTTATGAGATTAACCAGTCTAAAGATATCAACAGATGGAAGTATTTTTTTGCTCTGTCATTTGGAAGTAGCTTTTGTTATTTTTCAGAACGTTACATAAACTATTCCCCAGGTCCAGATCAGAAAATCCAGACCATAATGTCGCACAGAGATGGAGATCGGGCACAGTGTCTGTGAAACACATTTCAATAACAGTTTGATTCAATAAAGACAGATGATATCCGTCCAATAAAGTGTGTGAGAAAAGCATCTGGGAAAATTTCTCTTTTTCACTTGGCAAATTAGAATTTATGGTGAACAGCACATCAAACTGTTCCCTTGCCAATAAAGAGAAGTTGTTCCACTGCAAACGTAAAATACAGAATGAAGAGCAGGTTCAACAGAGTGTGTATCCATCTGAACCAGGATTTTCACATTCCAACATTATTCATGAAAATATTTCCAAGGTTTGTGGCTCCTGACATTGTTCCCCAGGGAAACAGACTCTGGTCAGATTTCTGATGAAGGAATCTGCCTTTTATCACTTTCAACACTGCATGATATTTTTCACATATCTGACGCACTAAAATGACAAACAGCGTACCTGGAATAGGGTTTTAAGGCCAACAATAAACTACAGTGCTGCCCCACTTCCAATTTCTGTTTGTTTTAAATCACTTGCTCCAGCAAGCACAATGGCCATCAGTTATGTGACTTCCAATAAATATTTTCTAAATAGGTCACCTGTCTCAAGATGAAAATATTCTTGGTGGAGACACAGACCCTGGATTTATATTCCTTCCAAAAGAGCAAATAAAAGTACAATAAAGGCAAAGTGTCAAACTGGATCATTGCAGTTGCAAGGTGTTAATCCAGACAGAGTCAAATAAGGATCTTTACGACATAGCACGTTATACTTTTTCTGGTAACTTTAGAGACCAGCTTTACAATTCAGCGTTTTTTGAGATAACTGTCTGTGCTCCTTCCTTCACATGGACCTGTGTCACCAAGAGAGAAGCTTCATCACCCCCCTACTGGAGCTAAATATCAGGTTTGACCTACTTTAAAAGCGAAGCTTTCTTCTTATGCACAGGTTCATGCAAACAATGCTCATCAATGCTTAACAAACAAAACTAGAGGGTTTTATTTTAAGCTTTAGATTCAGTCAACTCAGACACTGGTTTAGTTTTTTTACAGTATAATTCTGACTCACTACAAATTGGAACTGAGCCTATTCCTCAACAGATTGCATGCTTAGCGTTATTTCCAACTGATCCATCCATAGTAATCTAACAATGAGAAGTGGGTCAGGCCAGTGGAGCCCAAGCCAGCCCAGTGCAGGAGGCTGGGTGATGACCCATGTAGGAAGGGATCCCTGGTTTGTATTAACAAGTGAGATGGTTAGGCAAAATCTGTTGTCTAGACGATGTGCTCCACACAACCAAAGTGGTTTCTATATAAGCATCACTGGGCAGCGGCTCTCCTCTGAATAGTTAAGAGGAATAAAAACAGTCATTGCTTTGTTTTCCTCTGTATTCCTAATCAAAAAGTAATTTTCAAGTCTCCCCTTCTGAGAAAAATCAACCACATTCACAAACGAGGACATCTTTGCAGGGCTGAAACCCAGACCAACATACGATACGCTTCATTACACTGAGCAAAGCATAAAGAAAGCAGACAAATACAATTCAATAAGGAGCGGGGGGATCACTCCTTTCCTCAAAGAGGCTTATGAGGATGAAACATAAGCCTGTCACAGCGTCCCAATCAACCACAATCTGAGATAATAGATTTGTATTGCTCGTTCTCTCTACCGACACCATCATCATCAACATCATCATCAGTGGCCAGTGGAGAAAGAACTCAAGTCATGGTCCCTGTGTCCACTTGTGGCTTGAATGTGAATCGATTCAGAGTCTCTTCGTGCGACGCCAGGAACATTTTATCCTCGGAGCACAAAAAAATAACAAAAATGCATTCGTCAGTTGGCGCTGGGAAGCAGAGATGATGAAAGTCTCTGTTTACCTATTGTGCATGGTGAGCTATGGCGACTAAGAGAATTCAGCTGCTCTGGCCCCTCTTTGACACACATGGTGCTGGATCGACGCCACTGAAAAGAGGCAAGCAATTTCAGTTTTGCTCCCTTAAGGCAGATTAGCAGAATATTTTTTAACAATCTCCGGGCTGCTCGCTGAGGCTGGACCATCACAATAAGATGAGTGACAATAAAACGGTGCAATGTGGAAAATGTGAAATGTGAGCATTCAGAGAGTTTTCATCCAGTTATGTATCATGTTAGAAATGTGTACAAAAGCTTTTATGGATGGGAAGAATGCAAGGCTGGACCTGAGGCTCAACAGGCAAGGGGAGCTTCCTGTCCCAGTGCAGAGGAATAGAGGAGAGATGTGCACAGATCAGGCTGGGTAGAAGGACTGCCTCTCATGCAGCTCCAAAACGTTACGCCCATCATTTAAAAAAAGTGGAGCTCTCTTCCGGCAAAAACAAATACAACACAACAAATCAGTGACAAGTGCGACTGCAGTGCGTAAAAGTGGATGCAAGGTGGAGCGTGCAGGACACTGCATGACCACCGCTTCTAATATTACGCAACAAAAACATCAAACATGGATGTCAACACTGGATCCAGTCACCAATGCCAACATCGATTGTATCAGAAAAACAAATATGATCGAGGCGCTTGGTCGTGTATGATCACATCTGAGCTTCATTCAGAAAGTGAGTGTGATTATCTGCCAGTGAAAGCAGCCTCCGGACCTGACAGGGGCGCGATCGACAGGGACAGGATGTGACACATTTTTTGAATCCATGAAAAGTTTCGCTAGATCAAAGTCAAATATCAAAGCAAGTCGTGGTTAAAGATCCAGTGACGGCTTCTCGTCAGGCGTAATCACGTAAACCCGCCGGATCACACCCAGCATCGGGCCAGTAAGACAGGAAACAAAAGGAGAACATGTTCCCAGTCTCGCCTGGTAGCTGTGCGGCTAACGTGAAGCTAAAGGCAAAGCTATGTAGCATCAACATCACCACACACACACTCACTGTCGGCCTGGACACACAGAATTCAGCCTTGCAGCTCAATCTGCGCGCCGCCCCGCCGCCGACACTTACCGGCTTTTTCCTGATCGTATCCCACGACAATGAAATAGTCAGCCAATCTAGCCATGTCTGCTGCGTTTCCCGAAATATACCAACACAATTCAGCATTTTCCCTTCTTCCAAGGCACAGCCATGTTTGACAGAAGGAGTTTCACTGCGCTTGCGTGCAGGACGGGAGACATCCATGGGCGTGGGCCCTCCAGTTTACAAATACAGCACTGTGTCCCAACACTGGCTCTTTTTTGGCCCCGAAGCACCAGGCCCCCTCCTCTTTTTATAGAACAGAGACAGCCAAACATACTGCAACATAATACAGTGTATTATTATAACTGTGGTGATTATATTTATAGAGGCAACACAGCAGGAAACATGTTATCATAACAGTGATTATTACCTTGTTGTTGCAATTAAGAAAGGGAAATTATAACAGTTTTGGATTTGACCTAATGATTCCTTAGGACTTCTGTAAGCTGCTCTCAAAGTGAAAGTCAACAGCTGCTGAATAGCATTCACTGGATTGGGTTTAATAAATAAATCATGTGGTTAAACTATCACTGTGGTAAAGATAAATAATATTATCCTACTCTTAAACTTGCTACCCTCTGCTTATGTTATGACAATATACAAGCACTTTATTAAGAACGCCATCCTAATTCTAGCTTAGTTCATCTCTTTGCTCCCAGAGGGGCCTCGGTTTTTGTGGCATTGATTCCACAAGTTGTTGGAAATGTTCTTTTGCGGTTCCACTCCACATTGACATGGTTCTTTTCAACTGCACATTCAAGTTCCTGTTCTGCTGCATCTCAAGTGTGTTGAATGTATATCTGATGACTGAGGAGGCCACTTAAGTTCATTGAATTCACTGTCATGGTCATTACCCGGTTTGTGACTTGTGACATGGTTCATTATCATGCTGGAAGTAGCCATCAAAGGACACTGAATTGGAAAAGGGATACACATTCAAATCATGATTTATTGATAATAATATAATGAGGCACACAGTGTGCCAAGAAAGCATTCTTCACACCAGAAGCAACCTGTACAAGACTTCAGGTTCATAGAGTCATGCTGTTGATGCCGACTTCTACCTCTAACATCAGCATCCTCTGTACAAATCTATATTCATTAGACCAGGCTACGTTTTCCATTCTTTAACTCTATAGCCTCAGACTTCTGTTCTTGGCTGACAGGCTTCAGGAACCTGATCTGCTCTTCACCTGTTGTCATCCACCTCAAGGTTCAACATGTTGTTGAAGTGTATTTTTGCCCACCGCGGTAATAAAGAGAGTTTAACTGTAACTTTTCTGTAAGCTACAAATCATCCACAGCACGAACATTTTTACTGATCTTTTTCCTTTAAATCCCAAGAGAGTAACAGTTTTAGAAGTACTCAAACCAGCTCATCTGGCACCAACACTCACACCACGGTCAAAGTCACTGGGATCACGTTTTCCACATTCGGATGTTTGATGTGAACATAAACTGAAGCTCCTGATGTGCATCACCATGATTTAATAAGTGCTACTGCTGCCACATTGAATACCTGATTAGATAATTGCATAAATAGGCAAGTGTTCTTAATAAAAAGTTCTGTGGGTGCAGATTTATCAGGAAGATTTTGTTCTAGGGGAGACTTCAATAGAGCTAATATTCGTTCATCTGTGGGCTTAACAGCTTTAATTGGAAGGAAACCACTGGTCATATGTGCAGTTAGTATGTTAGTTATACATTACTTCAACCCCAAGAGCTGACATTCCCCTCACCGCCTAATATGAAAAAGCTGGCTGATTTAAACTGATGGGGCGGATTACTCAGTGGGTCAGATATTTAATCCAATTTCAATTAATGCTTTTTGTTTTGTGGCGAGCAAAGCAAGAGCAAAGCATTCTTGGTGCTGTCAGAGGCATTTACATTGTTTTAAAGCTGCTCTATTAAGCTGAATGTTTTGGGGCATTGACATTGAGTGTGAGGCTCAGGGCAAACTCATGCGGTTTGTGCACAACATTGAATATTTATGAGCAGAGGAAAAGCCGCCACAGGGAATGGCACATGTGCACCAGTACTTAAGCTAGTGTGCACACAAATTAGCCCCACTGTCAACAATAGCAGGAAAACAACAGGCGATCTCTGCTGCAGTTTCTTTCACTGTTTACTCTTCTTTTTAATGTCTCATGTATTTGCTGTTGTTTTAGTTCTGTTTTCTTTCTCTATCTTACTTCTAGTTTTCCCTGAGATGGTCCAGTAGTTAAACCAAGTCACAATCACTGTGCGATTGTGAAATAAATTGGTGGGACATCGAAGAATACACATTTCCAGGAGACAAACCTCTTAAGGTTCATCACAGTCTATTACAGATATGAATCATCTGTCCAATCAATGCTGTTGATGTTCACACCCTCCTTTTCCTGGCACACGCGACAATAGTTGTTCAGCTTTCCAGTCATTCATACCCACTCAAAAGTTGAATTAAAAGGTTGTACCATACTGCCAGTCAGTCATCTGGTGATCGTAATTTCATGGAGGACAAGCAAATTATTGCTATATAAGGAGACGAAAAGCATTAGCAGAATTTTGTTGTCGTGATTTCACAATCTCTTGTTGTAAATGCTGGAAAGGACATTACTTGTCTGCTGGAGGCAATTATCATTATAAAGTGCTTACAAAACATTCACTGGTTTACAGCACATGTGTTTGACATTCATAGTTTTTTTTAATATGACACTGTGTGTGGAATGAGGACGGAAGAGATATAAATAAACTGAGGGAGGTTTTGTTTAAGGAAAAAAAAAACAACAAAAAAATGAAAATTATAAGTATCAGAAGATGCTGGCATTTTAGAATGGAATGTGAAGTGAACTGAAAGTGTTGTTGAAAAAGTCTCAGGCATCGTATTTCCCCTTCACTGAAACTGAATCAAAAAGTGAAAGCATTACAGCAAAATAGAAAATACTACTAATTTACACCATACTGCATGGAAATTTTGACTCTGGGATTTCTACACTGATAAAACAAAGTGGTTTTTCTCTGATTTTTACAACATTTCATACACTGAGTGTGTCTTTCTGAAGTGTAATTCATCTTATTGTAACAATACAAAACTTTTGTCTACACTTGACAGTAGGATAAAAGCTGCAATAAATAAAAATTGCTACCCCGTCCAATGTGGGTTATTTGATGGCTTTTTCTTTGTGTGTCTGCCCCCCGGGGCTTGTTACCGACATCTGCCTCATGAACTCCACTGAGCTGTTGTTTTGAGCCCTGCAGAATAAACAGTTTTCAATACTCTGCGATACAATATCTTCACAGTAAGACAGGAAAAACCTGCTCTTTCTGGTTTGGAGTGACTCATTATAGTGACCATCTCATGAAGTCAAATATGTGAGGGGATGGTGTCTGCTATGGGGCAGACTCGATAGCTCTCTCATTATCACCTGACAGATTCTTGTGTAAGAATTCCAAAGTGAAGACATATTACCTATAATCCTTTACAGCAACAAACCAGCAGCCAATATCCTTCACTTTTTAATGCACATTATTGCTCCAGTTAATTATCTCATCATTGTAAAATTCCACTTCTCATTTATCCAAATATGAAAATAAAGTAAGCTGAGCTTCGAGTCAAATATTTGCCTTGTACTAACAAATACAGTCAGTATATTGTGTTTACAGCCGTGCATACTTACTATATTTAATCAGTTATTCAATGCTTGTTTCTTTCCACATCTCAGATTCATCATGTGTTGTACTTTTGAAGCTGACATGGAAGTTCACTGTGTCAGGGAGTGCCCCTGAAAAGCAGACTTTAGAAAACATTCCTTAAATTTTACTTCATACACTTAGCCAGTTGAAGTGTGGGGATAGTTAACAAAAAGAACAATATATAACTGACCTTAATGTACAAACATAACAAGATGAATGTTCGAGCCTTTTCTCCTGTGATCATTTAGATTTCTAATAGCACCTATAGAAAGCAGCCATACATGAACACACTGTACTCTCTGGTACAGGGAATGTACAAGGTTTTTGATTGACGTAACTGATGGCCGTTGATATGTTACACATAAAAAAAAACATTAAACACATTCTGAAGAACATTTTATGATAATTCTAGGCTGTTCTTGCATCATCTATAATAAGCTGTTAAAAAGTTAATGTTTTAAAACTGGGCAAATGACTTCATTGCAGTTTTCCTAAAACTTATTAATTACTTTTCAAATTTTCAGATTTTCATTCTGAGGGTTTTCACTGAGTTGCGTTGTTGCCCCACATGAGCAGCAGCAGCAGTGGTAATGGTGGGTAGGGCGGGGGGGAAAGGATGAGAGAGTGTGTGTCAGTGAGCCCCTCCCACCTCCTGTATAAAGGCTCCCAGCCTGGTGTGTAGAGACTATTAGCAGAGTGACACAGCTGCCTTACAGAACAGAACCAGAGGCAATTTCAAGAAACCTGTGGAGTACTTTTTACAGCTGATTCTACAAGAAGAGCTTCACCATTCAACTGAACTAACAGAGGAGCTACAGGTACGGGCACTTTCTTTTCAAGGAGATTTTATTTGTGATTTGCTCTGCACAAAGCTGATGGCTTTATCTTTGCTTTTATGAGGTCAGGGCACAAGTGTAGGGACAAGGACAGGTTATCTGTCTGCTTATATAAGCAGTTCAGGTCCTAATTTGTGGGACTGTAAAGGAATTGTCCTCAAAGTGTAAAGCATCCAACAGAGCCAGTTTATCAAGTATTATTGTTCTGTTTAATGCAGTGACTGAGTTGACTTGCATTTCAGGTTCTGTTTAACTTGTGAGCAGAGCCTATTTTGAACCCCTCATTGGTAGACAGTGTCCTTCGTGCTGTTGGCCAGAGGCCCAAAGGATAGTTGTAGGTTTACTTAACCGAGCAAAAGCTGACCTTAGCTTAACTTTTTAAATAAATGAATGATAAGTGCAAATAACTTGGCTTTTGGACTCTTGTGTAAGCAAGTATCTCAGTGTGGCACTTGAGGGACAACTGTATGAGCGAGTTGTACATGCACAGGGGGACAGGAGGAAATTCATGCAGTTAAATATTAATTCATTGCAAAGATAATTAACCAAAAAATGTTTTTCTCTTGTCTCCATAGAAGCCAAAATGAAAGTGATCTTCCAGTCCTTCCTCTATTGCTGCCTTCTGGCGACAGTAGCACACTGTGTGGAACTTGAAGTGAATTCAC